CTTCACGCTCGTCGCGCTCCTCCAGCAACGCCAACTGGACTGGCTGGGCCGAAGAGCAGCATGGTGGAATGCCCGTCGGCGGCCCTCCCAGCAGCCCCTCGCCCTTGGCCGTCCGCGTCTCAAACTCACCCTCAACGAAGCGCCGTCACAGCCGAATCGTCAAAGTACCCCCCGAGTTCGCCAACCTCGAATACGTCTCCACGCCCGACAGCAACCTCACCTGCCTCATCTGCCACGCCCCCTTCGATAAGCCCGTCCAGCTCTCCTGCGACCACTACTTCTGCCGCGAGTGTCTCGATCACGCATGGGCACCACAGCATAAGAGGACATGTCCCACGTGCCGGCACGCTGTTGAAAGCGACGGTGACATTCGCCCGGTGCCTAAGATTATCGAGACGATGCTGGATGAGCTTGTCGTCAAGTGCCCGAACACCAAGGCAGGCTGCAACTGGGTCGCCCAACGCGTCAACGTCAACGACCACGTCATGCTGTACTGCGAATACACGCCTGTCGAATGCTCTGCCGCAGACTGTCGCTTGCAGATATCACAGAAGGACTTCCACAAGGGCTGCTTGCACTACACCGTCAGTTGCGAGGACTGTCACGCTTCGCTCCTCAAGAAGGACCTCGAAGAGCACCAGCGCAGCCTCTGTGCTAACCGCTTGACCACCTGCACGCTCTGCTCGGCTGAGATACTGCGGCTAGACCTCAAGCCTCACATCAACAACGACTGCCCGAAACATGTCATATCATGCCAGGGCACCATCGTCGGATGCAAGTTCCAAGCCGAGCGTGCCGACGTCGTACTCCACGAACCAACCTGCGCAATGGCAACCATGGCGCCCCACTTCCGCGAACAGCAAGCCCGCATCGAAAGAACCGAGGCGCGAATGGAGCCCCTGACTAGGAAAGTCGGCATCCTCGAAGACGGTCTCACCAACATCACGAACTACCTGTATCCAGCCAACGGAAACGACGCCTCCTTCCCTGTTACCGATCCCCTGGACCCCAACGACACCGACCCTCAAGCACCGACTCCAGACTTCCGCCTCCCACCCGCTTCATTTCCACCCGTCCCACCAGGCGGAAACGACAGCAACAACTCCGCCCAACCTCCTTTCGACTCCCAAGTCCACCACCTCCTCACGCTGCACGACTCCCTCCGCGAAGAAGTATCCCGCATCTCCAACGCGCTCACCGACCTCGACGGCCGCACCAACATGATGATCATCAACGAGAGCCAACGCTCCAAAGACGAAATGCTGCACGTCAACGCCGCAATCAGCAACATGCGCATGCACCTGCAATGGGTAGTCAGTGCGACACTCCAACAGCGCTCCAACGCTACCGCCACTTCCAGAACACCAGGTACCGCAGGCGCAGGCGCAAGTGCGAGCGCCGGGAGTAACGCTACACGTGCGGGTAGTGCTAGGCCGGGTCCTAGTGCCACGATGCAAGGGCCCTTCCGCAGGCTGAGTGACTCTAATAGGCAGGATACGAAGCTCTAGTGTTTGTGGTGGTAGTATCCCCTTCTCTTTTTTCTTTGCGTTTTTATGATGGAAATGGAAATGGAAATGGAAATGATCGCAGGTTCGATCTACGATGGATATGTCTTTACGAAAAGTGGTTTTACATGGCGTTTAGGGAATGGGGGAAATGCGGGGTTGGGATCATGTACGACGGATGAGATCCTGGGTGGGATTAGGTTTATATACCCCTTCTTTCTTTGATATCGTGGGTTGCTGCTAGCGGAGGGAATGCCGCAGCAGGTGCAGGTACGGCATGACGGGGATGGAAATGGTGAGATTAGATGAAGGAAACAGTACACAAAACAATCTAGATACATTACAAATATCAACTATCATGACACAGATCTTCTTGTTGTTTTCGGCACGTGAAGTCGTGTATGCCCGTTAGCTGCGAATTCGTGTCGGCGGATCATCGGTGACGTAATGCATGAGGTTTTATCGGACCCTGTATGTACCTGAAGATCGATTACGAGGCTCCCGAAATTATCCTGGCGAAAACATCTGATCTTCATATATCTGCAGCTTGACGTGTTCTTTTTCTCTTTGCAAATGGCGGGGAATACTAGTTCTGATATTTTGATTGTGAGTTTCAATCTCTGGTGTGTTGTTGATTTTTGGATGGCTTGGACGACGCGGGCTTTTGGCAGCTGCGTGTATGCGTGCGACCGACATGCGCGTCTTTCTCCATGCTCATTAATTGAGAACGAGAAAGAGATGGAAACCGAATAAACACACCACCACCCAAACCTCCAAACAACGAAGAACCTGTTCAAGAGAACCTCGGACTAACGTCACCACAACAAAAGGCCGGCGCAATAGCAGCCTTTACAGTAGACCTCCTCGTCTACCCGCTCGACACAATAAAAACGCGCATCCAAAGCCCGGAATATGCTAAACTCTACACGGATACGCGGACGGGGAAAGTGGATCCGAAGTTGTTCCGTGGTGTGTATCAGGGGATTGGGAGTGTGATTGTTGCTACGTTGCCGAGCTGTAAGTAGAGATTTCTGAACGGGGTTTTAGAGGAGAAGAGGAAAAGAGGAAAAGAGCAGGGATGCGTGGGATGAGTGAGAGAGCTTGTTGGGATGGGGGAAAGAGAAGGGGATGGCATGGTTGTCAGGGAGAGGTTTGATGGGTGAAGAGGTGGATGATAAGATGTCGTTTGGACAGGAAGAAGGCTTACGCGAGATAAGAGGAGAGTTAGATACTAGGGGGGAAAGTATACATGCTAACCACCCCATCAGCAGGAGCGTTCTTCACAACCTACGAACACACAAAATCGCTATTTACACGTCTGAACACGAATACCAGAAACGAAGCCATCCTCCCCATAGCCTTCGTCCACGCCTCCGCCTCTTCCTTGGCAGAACTAGTTTCCTGCGCCATCCTCACCCCCGCAGAAGTTATAAAGCAAAATGCGCAGATGGTGTCGTCGACTTCTCAATCGCAGAATGCTACGTTACAGACGCTGGGTAAGTCCCCCGTACCCTATCCCCTATCCCCTACCCCCTATCCACCACCCAACCACCCACACCCATCCTCCACACTCCAAACTAACATCCACCCCTCCCCGTCCAGCTAAATTCCAATCCAACCCTCTCGCCCTCTGGCGCGGCTACACCGCCCTCGCAGGCCGCAATTTACCGTTTACCGCGATGCAGTTCCCTATGTTCGAGAGGCTCAAAGAGGGGATTAAGAAGTACAGAGATGAAAAGGGACTAACCAAGGGCGGCATATTTGAAATGGGCTGGATTACGGCGTTGAGCGCGGGGAGTGCGGGGGCGGTTAGTGCGGTGCTGACGACGCCGGTGGATGTTGTTAAGACGAGGGTTATGCTTGCTGCGGCGGATGCTGGGGGTGGGGGTGGTGGGGGTGGTGGGAAGGGGAAGGGGAATGGGGGAGGGAAGGGGAATGGGGGAGGGAAGGGGTTGGTTGATGCGTTGGGCAAGTCTGCTTCGTCCCCTAAAGACACGGTCAAGAATGCGGCGAAGGACGCGGCGGATTCTCTTAATCCGATAAAGTCTTCGCCCTCGCAGTCGAAAGGAAGGAAGAGCAGTTGGGCGGTGGGCAAAGAGATTGTAGAGGAGAAGGGGTTTAAGGGGCTGTGGAGAGGTGGTGCACTGAGGGGTGTTTGGACGTTTATCGGCGCGGGGTTATATCTGGGGGCGTATGAGAGTGGGAGGGTTTGGCTGGCGGGGAGGAGGGGGGAAAGCGTTGATGAGGATGATCTGCTGTAGTGGGCGTTGAGGTGAACATGGTAGTAGTCAAGGCTGTCGATCAGCGCACTATGAGGATGGGAGGCGGAATGGTTTTTGACATAGTATTCTTGATTGGTATGCTTGCCGGCACTCAGGTTACTCAAGCAGTGTTCGTCTGGAATTGAACCCCCCAACGCCCTTCAGTTCGACAGTCGCCTCGAACGTCATTCAGGAGAAATTGTTTCCAAAACCGAAGTAGGAATGGAACGGATCTTTTGTCGTATTGTACGGCTCCTTGTCGGTCGGCTGCGGCTTAGTGTCTACACGTGTAGAATGTTACGTCAGCGCTGTGAAGTCGAGTAACTGGGCCAGACTTACCTAACACAAAAGCCATCATTTCCTGCAACATATCCAATAGAGTCTCCAAGCCGGCATGTACAGACTGCTTCCTCTGAGTAGAGACAAGAGGAAGCCATTCGGAGCTGACGCCAGTAACGTTGACGACGACATGCGCAGTGTACGCCACGTCGAAGAGGTAGTCTTCTACAGCTTCAGGGTTGTTTTCTTTGGCGATGACGACGCGAAGGGGGAAATCCGACTTCCTGACCTCCTCAGCATAGAGAACGGTGGCTTGATCTGACATTGAATAACACGTCAGAATCGAGGATCTTGGATGTGGAAGGCGGGAAGACAAGTACCGATGATCACCTCTTTCATCTTTTCTTCCAACATGATGGTCTCGTACTTAGACATAGCTGCGGCGACGTGTTTGTTTCTTGCCCTGGTGATGGCGGTCCCGAATGCAGGTATTGCAGAAGTGGGAGGTAGAAGAACTGAGGTCAATGTCGCGCGAAAAGTTTCTTATCAATTGCAAAGCGCGACTCACTCGCACCTACCGCTCTTGTTGTGAGCTAACCCAGAACGGAGAGAGCAAACAGTCGCTGCGCAAATTTTCAGGCTTTTCCCAGGCGGACGCTGACATGTGGCTCGGTATGTTAAGAGTAGGAGCGTAGGAAGTGAAGTAGTCCGCACGATGGCAAGATATAGTTGATGAATTGCATTGCTATCTATGAGCGCAAGCAAACCTTGGAAACTATCTTGGTCCAAGCATGTGGTAGAAACCACGTGTTGTATGCTACCGGCCACGCCTTTCTGGCTCGCTAAAGCCCAATTTTACATCTGTCGGCCGTAAACTAGGCGAATGCCGCAATGACTGCGCCGGGAATGTGGATAGCTTCAATGTGGACACCCTTTCCTGCCGACTACAGGTATCTCAAGTCAGCATTAAAGTACAGAAAGCTTGTTCAGTGAGCGTGGTAGGAGACTCACTTATATGTGCTTCCATCAGCTCACGCAACTCTTCCAGAAGTGCCTCCAAGCTCGCACCGACAGAAGATTTTGATGACTCTCCCCAGTGCACAACCCTCCAGAAGTTGTCGTCCGGTGCGTCGTACGTGATCAGGGCAGACCTGTATTTGGCAGGTCCAGGCGCGAAATTTCTTTGCTTGTAGGAAATAACTACGCAGTCACTCTCGAGGCTGTCCCCGTATATCGCACGGCCAAGAGCTATCAGCGAGTCTTGAGTCAGTAATCAGTGAAACAATAGTAGCCCAGTTGTACTCACACTTGATGGCGTCTTTCATCTTGTCTTCCCAGATGACGGTTTCGTACTTGGACATAGCCATGGTGACAAGAATATTGAACTTGTGAGTGACGTGAAGTTGTCATGTTTCGGAAAGTAGGTGGTAGAAGGGTTGTAGTTGTCGCGCTGAGAGGTTTCTCATCAGCTGCGAAGAGTGCGACTCACCTTCACCTCTTAACTTGTGACCCAAACTACCTGGCTAACCCCATCTGGAAAGAGCCGAAACTCATCAAAAGGACTTTCGGTGCTCGAGGTCTGGAAAGAATCATGAAATGGCAGGCTTCTGTTGATGGTTGCATTGATATCTAGCGACCGGGTACGCATCGTTCACGAAACTCCTCCAAGTCTTGGCCAAGCCTCACCATTTACTCTTTCTCCTTATGCTCACGGTCGAGATCTGCAATAGAGGAGGCAGTCAGCACTTGTTTCTAGATGTGTAGGCTGTGCGACTTACGAATCTCCAAGCCCACGCGGCGCCTGAGCTCTTTCAAAAGATACTCCAAGCCTTCTGCCACATTCTGTCTATCAAGGACAGAGATAACAAGTTTATACTTCTCTGTCGTACCTGGATCTTTGTAGACGACAAGATGAGTATTGTAGTAAGCCCCTCCTGCAAAGCTCTCCGTCTCCTCAATTTCGTGGGTAATGCCATGGATCGCGTCGAAGACTGAACCGCGAGGGTATTTTTCGACGAAGATTGCGCGGGCGTGCACTGTAAGGCAAAAATGAGCCAGCTTCAATAGCGTGAGATGGGTCATGTAGGGTATGCTTACCCAGAATCTGTTCTTTCATCTCTTTCTCCCACATGATTGTCTCGTACTTGGACATAGCCATAATGACTAGACTGGCGAGGATTCGTGTTGCGAAGCTTACTTGTTGGAAGCTCAGTTGATTCGCGGTTGTGGGTGGTAGAAGATTGGGGGCAGTTGCGCGAAAGTTTCTTATCTACTGCATCGGTAAGGCGCGATGCTGAGTTCCCGAGGTCACACCTTCGCCTCCGATTTCTCAATTCCTACGCCAAGCCTATACACAATTGCGACAGTGACAAAGGCTCAACAAGCAAATTCGCCTTCCACATTAAGATTCCGCCATCAAATAAGTTAGAGAAGTCTTCGCTCGTTCTCAGCCTCTCTAGCCTCTCTAGCCTCTCTGTCCTCGCGGCGCTCCCGAACCTCCGCAGGTACTTGACCACGACCCTTTCTCTTCTGCTCTGTAACAAGACCGCTCAGTTAGTTCTTGCACTTTTCGTCTTCGGCCACCGTGCTTACCAATCTTGTCACCCAGCCGCTTTGTAAGTTCTACCATGAGAGTGTCCAAACCGCCCAAAATGCTCGTACTGTTATCGACCGAAAGAACAATTTCCCAGTCCTTTTCCGGATACGTGCCCAACGGGGCATAAACGATAAGGTGAGTTTCGGCCGTGCTATGAACGACATCGAAACCTGAGCCATATGGGAAATGTTGAGAACATACGGCACGGGCCTGCGCTACATATTTATTGCAAGTTATTAAAGTGTACGGTGTGAATGGGAAGTAGCAGTTACGTACACAGGATCTGTTCCTTCATCTCTTTCTCCCGTATAGCGGAGTCGGGATTGGCCCAGGCCCTGGGTATCGTTTGCAGCACCATGTTTTCAAAAGGACGAGTTGTGTTGGTGGTGATGTGTTGTTGGAGTAGGAGTTTGAGGATTCGGATGTTGCGCGAAAAGTTTCTTGTCTATCTAGGTACCATGGTACTGCACAAGACGCGATCCCAGGCCCACCTTCTTCGCCGGTAATCGGATATTCCACATTTGGCAACGACAAGTGCGCAGAAATGCGACACCAGTGCCCATATCCAGCCAAAGTATTCATGCACGACTCAATATCTATGCCGCTTTGAGTGTCTCTTCGGATTGATCTTGGTCGCCGTTCTTCTCGAAGTTGTGAAACATTCTGGCTGCCGTTGCGCAGGGCTTTGGTCTCAGCGTGGGAGTATGAGAGAATCAGAGCGAGAAAGCAGAGAGTTAAGAGTAAAGGGTGCATTGCGAAATATGTATGCCGAAGCGCTGACATACATATCACCTTTCACTTCCATTTTGACCATACCGACTTCGGGTCTGCCGGGGCGGTAATCCGTTTCCTTACTATCTATGATCGCCGGTCAAGAGACTCAATGCATGCATCCTTCTATCAGTCGACTGGCAGTTTGGCCGCAAGCCGCTGGATTCAGCACTGATTACTTATCAGTGCTGATGTCGTCCTTCTTTAGCTTCTCTGTCTCCTCTACTTTCTCTGCCGTCTGTCAGCGAACATTTCCCTAAAATCATCGCATTCTTCTCCTTACCCATGGACACCATAGTCTCGACCATCATGATACGCAGCTTCCCCAGAAGCTCTTGGTATTCTCGCTGAAGGGTGGAGCCAGTGCCTTTTTTGGATATCCGCCGCGACTTTAGAACTGGAGTCCATTCGTTCGATACGACTTTTCCAGTCTTGAAGGCAGCATTGTCTGGCATCGGGTAAACGATGAGCCATGCGACAAGGTCATTGCCTGCTAATATATCGCCGCTGTAGATGACATCGAAGGTGGATCCATGGGGGTACTTGGGGCCGTAGATAGCGCGGGCCTGGGCTTTGAGATAGGTTAGCTGTGTGGTAGAGCAACGTGAGGTTTGTTTTGACGGACATAGAATGCGCGCTACAAGCGCCTCTTCGTGCATCACTTGACTGTAGTCTCCCATTTTCGCTGGCGTGGGTGGGTTTTTGGAGTTGAGTGTGAGAGGGAGGTAGTGGAAAGCAGAAAATGGATCTGTGATAGCTATTTATGCGCCAAGGGGCGTCTTCCAATTCCACCTTCACCTTCACTTTGATGCAAATATCATGTATACGCCAAGCTAAAACTGTCCCCTAGCTTTGCATGACTGCTGATGAGCAAACCGGACACTCCATCCCTCCCGTTGATAGGTCCAAGAGGTCAGTCTACCTAGGTAGTGTCGGCAAGTCTCTCGCGAATCACTTGCTAGCTTTCTTCATGTATGCCTCAACTGAATTTCGTCAGCACACAGTTGTGATAATGATCCTTACTTTCTCACTTGCCCATGACTCTATTCATCTTAATCCGCAGTTCGTTGAGGACATGCTGGTAGGCTTCGATCACGGTGTCCGCAGGATCCGATGCCATAATTGGGGACCAATTGGCGGACACGGCTTCGCCTGCCTTGAAGGGTTTGGTCTCAGGGTAAACGACGACGTAGCAGGCGAAGGGCAAAGATTCTTCACCATCCCATCCGGTAACGACGTCGAATACAGTGCCCCTAGGGTATTTTGGACCGTGGATGGCGCGGACATGGGCTGTGGGCGAGTCAGTCACGTATAAATGAGTGATACTTACATGAAACGTACACAGAATGCTTGCTTTGAACGCCTCTTGCTGGATGATGGGAGAAGACATGTTGGATCTTGTCGCGTGAGATATTGGATTGGGGGGTAGTTTCGAGGAAAGACTGTGCTACTGAGAGAACAGAGAGCAGAAAGTAGAGAATTTATCTCAAGCTACTACGCCAAGACTCTTTGCGCTCTCGACTTCACCTTCACTTGACATGGCCTCTTTCCCGTCTTCCGAGCTCCACTGTTGTGACCGCAAATCGCAAATCGCAGACAAATCCTGCAAAAGCCTTTTCGTCAGAGCAGAGAACGAGACCAAATGACTGCGTTAGCAGACATTTCTAAGATCTTAATGACCCTTGCACCCTCAAACAAGAAAAAAACCAAACAGGTCTAGAGCCTACATCGAATTTAAGCCACCTACTTCGCATGTTTCCAAGACGATGTAGGCTGCAGACCTATTCGACTTCTATCTCCTTAGCTACCGCGTCGTTCCAGACCTCATCTATTGCCATATCGCCTGAAAATGGTCAGTAGATCCCAAGCCAGTGTCCTTGTTCTCACTTACCCGTGATCTTGCCAACCTGCATCTGCATATCGAGATACAACATCTCCATTGCTAGTCGCGTCGAGTCGCAGGCATCGCTCTCAGCTACCATCTTCCATTCCGCTAACGAGCCAGGCGTAGTGTAGATTATGGCTTGAGCATAGTATTTCATGTCCGCCGCCAGACTTGTGCTTTCGTCGTGGAAGGAGGTGGTCACTGAAAAGGTGTAGTGGGAAGTTGGATACGAGCGACCGTGAACAGCGCGGACCTGATCTACCTGGTATGTCAGTGAAGGCGCATCGTAGAAGAGCTAGGAGCTGGTACCAAGGATCAGGCCCTTGAGGATTTCGATGGCCTTGAGCGAGTCCAGAAGCGAAGTCGTTGATGAAGTTGGCGCCATGGTGAGCACTGGGTGGTGGTTGAAGGTAAAGAGCAACTCGAAAGTGTAGAGGATAAGGTTGGGCGTTGAATCGGTAGTTATCTCTGGAAGTCTTGGTGACGGCTAACCGCTTGTGGAGGTGAAGGTGACCGAGGAAACGCATTGACGTAAGACACGGTGAAGCAGCGGCTTATTGCCAGATCTTCGAGAAATCTGTAGCGGCACTGCTGGTCATAAATTTTTCGTCCGTGCTGGTTTACTGTTGGCAATCATGAGTTTGAAACAAGGTACGCAGCAGCACCAGGGTTGGTTCCAATCTGTCGCATATGGCTGCATACACAACATCAAAAGCTGTCAAGTTGCTAGACCGTCTGATGCTTAAACTTTGTACGTGTACAAGCTTTAGATTGAGTCGTTGTAGACCGCAACTCAAATCGTAGTCACCGCTGGTAATAGAGGCTCTTGCGTTTTTCTCATGAAAGCCGCTTCATGCATACGGACAGAAACTTGTAAGAGCATGCTCCTTCTAGCACAATTAATGCTATCTTAATAGCTAAAATACGCAGTATCGCTGCTAAGCATTCTATGTTGACATGAAAACGGACGTAAACATCTCATTGCGAGGCCCCGTTCTTTGCTGCTGTCGATTAAAAACTCGAAACATTGTCTCTGAAGATCTCTTATCGGTATGGAGCCTCTGAATGAGCTGACGCAAATCTTCTGCCGAAACGTGTGCGAAACCTTTCGAGCACAATATCGCGTCCAGAATTCCCACAGTTTCAAACTTTGCAGCGCTTTCAATCGCCCCGTCTTCCTCAAGCATTTCATCATCAGCCATAATGAACTCATCTTCTATGAGTGCTAATGATACATGTTTGTTGCGTGTGCGTATAGCTTGTGTTAATGGTTTTGGTTTGGACCCGAGGAGCACGTGTCGAAGCTCTTGGGATGTTGGTTGCGTTGTACACCCCGGGAAGAAGTGATACTTGCACAGATCCCTTAGTACCTTGGGAACGTTGCCTTGAATCCCTTCTACTGCGGCGGGGTAGTCCTGAAAGAGGGGGCGGTACATGTTTAATAGGTACTTGATCGATTCTTCGTGACCTAGGTGGATCGCCCGGATGAGCACATTGGGAAGCAAGCGGTACATGTCGATTGCCAGTTTACCGCTCCAGTCCCCCTCAAGGCTCAGGTTGTTGAGAAGATCGGTTATGTCAGTATTCCCAGGGGGTTGGAGCGCAACCCAGGTTATCCCGACTATCCCGGCCGGGGTTTTGAGGCGTACTGTCCCTTGCTTGAGGACCCGAAAGAAGTTTTCTGAGGTACTGCAGAGTAGCATCGGGAGTAAATATAGATACATCAGTATAGATTGCTTCGCCAAGTACTGGAAGGAAAATCGATGAGCGCTGACTTTGGACTGCAACGTGAGATTCTCGGCAAGAACCTTTGTTGCGTCAAATTGCGACTCTTTCATGGACCTCAAAAACCTCAGGGCGACACTCTGGACGGACTTGGAGTTGTCTAGTGTTGAGCTGATAATATGAGAAGGCGCTGATCCCAACTGCATTGCGGGAAGGGGGCTCGATAGCTCCGTACCAAAAAGGCCATAGCCAAGGTAGGTTACCATTATCGATGCCGTGAACGTTCGGGCCTCTTCGGGGTCGAGACAAACCCCGCCATTGTGGCCCTCTCGATCTTTTTGTATGAGGTACTGGTTGACGCTCGGGTGTACTGTACGTATCGTGCCGTCTTCTTCGTCCACGGTAATGAGACAGCCGCAAGTTGCCAAAGCCGAATCCACGCTGTTCAGAAGCTTCGAGGGGTCCCAGGTTGTATCGCCAAGTGTGACACTCAGGGCCCCCTGCATTTCTTCCATTGTAAGCGGTCGCATCGTAGATGTGATGATTTTGAATATCTCTGTTTGATAAGTTCGACCAGGTTGCTGCAGCTGGTTCAGTATTTGATTATAGACCTGCGTAAGATTGCGAGGTAAATCAAGAAGTGCTTCGCGAATCTCTTTATCAGTCTTCATCGAGCATAATGACTCAATTTGTAGCGTCGCCCAAAGAAACATGCCTTGCGAGCCCTTCATTAGAGCGTCCCGTATGTCGAATATAAGAGCGGGGTCCCCGAGAACCAGCTTACGGGTTGTCAGACAGCGTTCCAGTTCAGTGTCCACAAACGCTTCAATGTCTTGGGCGTTCTCGGGCTGTAGCGTGACAACAGCAGGGCGGAATATTGGCATATCTGCTAGACTATGAGAGTCCACGCGATGTGATACACATAAATGCACATCCCGAACTGATTGGAGCTCCTTGATCCCGAGTAAGATGTAATTTCTGTCTTTTTCGAGACAGTTGTGTAGTCCATCAAGTACTATCCATATGTGTGTTGACTGAGGAACAACCTCATACAGCAGAGTTACGAACTGTTCCACACTGAATGAGTGTTTGTGTCGCGGGTCCAAAGTAGTCAGGTCCGGTACAGTCTCGAGTATTTGTCGTACCAGTGTGCCAAGGACTCGTTGGCAATTTAGATCCCATGAGTCGTGCTCGCAGAAGTGATAAGCAACTACAGCATCGGTGCCTTCGATATGAGCAACGAGATCGTTGACTATATTCGCCATCATGACAGTCTTACCCGAGCCAATGCTGCCTCTATAGAGAAGCGTAGTTGACGCCTTGCAATCTCTCCAGTCATGATATTCGGTGGTTTGCAAAAAGCTGGTAGTAGTTCCGGTCTTGCGGATTCGCCTCCAGGGTGTCTCATAATCATGTGTTGAGAACATATCGAGGATGCGGAGCCTTTCTGCCAGTTTCCGTTGATGTTCAGTTGCCTTTGCATGTCGTGTTGAAAGAGCTCTGAACGCTGAACTAGTCTGGACTTCCATATCGATTTTCTGAGCCAACAAAAGATCCACTTCCTCTTTTATTGACTTTGCCCAAAGGTTGAGCTCAGCTTGCAACTCTCTCACGTCCGAGTCATTCACCGTATAGCCTAGCTTTGAGAAGGTTGATTTCCGGGCGAACTTCATGATACGATTGCAGAGGTGCACTACCACGATGAAGTATTCGTTGATCTGGGACTGGAGGAGTCTTGACCGGGGGTAAAGAAGTCCCAACGCCTGATATCGTGGAGCTGAGCGACCAACATCCATGAAGATCAGTGAAAGTCTCTCTAAATATGACGAGGAGTTGACCAACGCCTGTCCATAGTCAGCAGTTGAATCCACTCCTTCCAACGCTTCTTGCTCCGAATGACCGAACTCGAATGAGATGAACACGCTTACCAGCAGCGACATGCGGACTAGCGACCATACGCCACATGCGATGATGTTTTGAGATCCTCCAATAATTACGTCACCAAGCGCAGCGAATTGTTGAACGCCATGGAGAAAATTCGTGAACCGTGGTCCAAAACATCGACTGCCAGCCTTTTGAGCTCTGTCAATATCTGCAGTGACCCGCATGACACTGTTGGGGCCGGGAGGCGATTCGAGCGCTTTCGATCGATCTGTTCGGAAACTGGCCTTCTCAACCATAGACAGATTGGCTTCGAATTGAGACACCGCTTCGGCGAGACGGATTTCAGGTCTCAGTCTCGCCACGCTAGGGATGATATGAGACATGACGCCGAGGGGTTTGATGCATAGCACCAGTGAAGCGTAAGGCGAGGTGGTGAATAATCGTCGAAGTATCTACCAAGGGACCGTCCCTCAAGAGATACCAGCCGAGAGTGCTGTGTTGGTACGGGCAAAGCGACGAGACACTATGTCATGCCTGCACGAAGGAGGCGTGGCAGACCTAAGTAGCCATAGAATCGAGGCGGGGTAACCACAGCCTCGTGCGACATACTATACCTTCCATGCGCACATCTTGCAGTATTATCGCTGATCCACAATTTGATTGGGCACATCCGACAAGGGTCGGGATCGAGGAAGGGGCTGAAGTGTGGTATGCCATCGAGTTGTAGGGGCGCGCAAGATCAACCTTGAGAAGGACCGAACCGTGCCACATACTGGGCGACCTACAGTACTGTAGATAGGCTTCTGGATATTGAGACTGGTTGCCTTCTCATCGCTTCGATCTGTGCGCGTTAATGCTAAGATTTACTGTACAGGTTATCTCCTGGGCTCGTGCTTGTTGCGAGGATTCGCAGCGTCATGGACGTTAGTTGCCTGTATCGAGAGTGTCGGCAGACATGACACTGTCTTCCCTAATTCCCTAATAGTAATGGAAACTAATAACAAGGCGTGAGTATACTCTGGAAATAAAGTGTGACTGGCTGAATAATACTGCACTGATGAGGATGCATCGATGAAGAAGCAGACGCGCCCTTTCCTTGAGTCCCAGATACCCTATCGATAAGGCCCAAGCACGTACCACCGCGACCCTCGGTTTTCGGCGCAAACCATCATCGCAACCTAGACATTTCTGCCTCCAACCCTCACACCACACCCCCGTCAACCCCCGTCCTACCACCCAAACCTCACGCACCAACACCACCGCCAAAATGTCCACCGCCTACAACCCCCAGCAAACCACGGACCCAGCAACCGTCAGCCAAATCGACGCAACCGCGCGCACTGTGCATTACAAGTGCGGCGACTGCGACATGGACGTTCCGCTGAAGCGTGGAGAGCCGATTCGGTGCAGGAACTGTGGGCATCGTGTGCTTTACAAGCAGAGGACGAACCGGTAAGTGATTTTGAGTTTTGGGAGGATGGAGACAGGGGCAGGGAGAAGAGAAGAGAAGAGAAGAGAAGAGAAGAGAGCGGGCGATAAACGTAGATTCGGAGAGAAGAGGCGCGCCCTAGACCTGGGAGAAGGGAGAAGCGGGAAGAGAGGAACGAGCGGAACGAGCGGAAGCGCAACACCGAGCGCATGTCGAAGGAGAATGAGAATAACGAGAAGACGAGGCAAGAAGGCGTCAAGCACAAAGAAAAACTAGCTAGCAGCCTCAACACGAACAGTCTCACTAACACAATATTTAGTATGGTCCAATTCGAAGCCCGATGAACGAGCAAATCGCCCAACTCCGAATACAACGATACGGCGAAGCGGCGAGCAATACGGACAAGATTCCAGATCTCAGGGCATGGAAACAGGCGTATACAAGGGGCAGGACAACCAGCGACGGAGATTTCCACACATGACAGCGACATCTGCACAAGGAGGAATACGAGCGAGAGGAGACATGTCAACTTGGCATCTCAGAAGGCATTAGTACAGGAGTTTGATTCGGATGTTTGAATGCGATATGGAGATGATAGCAGCAATTCCCAGACTCCGAACCATCACAAGCACATCAGCCACCATGACTATTACCACACGCTTCATTCTTCTTTCTTGGACGTGATCTTGACTTCAACCCCAGTAAACAGAGGATCAAAAGAAACCTTTACCAGCCATTACTCCATTCACGCGCTGTGCGCAAAGATTTATGTAGTATATGGTTATGATGTGATGTGACAGTGGTGCCAGCCAGAACACTTTCCTTCCCATTCCAGGCTTCATGCTATCAAAAGGGAACGGCTTCGAGACAGACAGACGGAAAGAGAGAGTTCTCGACCCCAGAAATCCTGACCATCCCTCCCCAAACACCCCCAGCCCTCTTCCTTCATCAACCCTTCCAGCTAAACACCAATCTACGACCCGCGGAACGCGTCAAAGCGCTTATACGTGTACCCAATAAAGGGCAAGCTCGTCGCATACTCGTCTTCGTTTGCCTGTGCGGCCTGCGCCCTGTGAGCAGCTGAGGTATCATTCTGGTCAATCTCGTCGATGGGGAAGTATTGAGTATCAATGTTGGACTGCAGTTTGGGTTCGAAAGGCGCACGGATACGGCGGAGACCGTCCCAGGAGACGCCGCGGAAGAAGGGGTGCTGTTTGATTTCGTTGGCGCCGCCGATGCGACCGAGGCGGTGTTCGGCGTCACAGATGAGCCTGGACATGTATGTTAGTTACTGGGATGATGAGGAAGATCGTGTGGGATAGAGGCGCTTACCGTCGGACAAAGTCTTCAGCTTCGGCGCCGAGTTGCTGGTCGGGAGGGAAGTGCAGGTTACGCGGCCAGTCGACAATCTTGCGGTACGTATCGTGTGGCTCCTCAGCGCAGAACGGCGGCCAGCCGATCAGACACTCGAACATGATTGTGCCTACCGACCACCAATCACAGCTGTAGTCGTAACCTTGGCCGCTGAAGATCTCCGGCGCGATGTAGTCGGGTGTACCGACGGTCGAGTAGGCGAGCTGTCGACGAGACTTACGCCATGTGTTGATTTGGGTACGGTTGCTGACAGTCAGTTGAATCTGGTCGAGGTTCATTGATTGTCGGTTGTCGCGGTTCGACTTGTGTGCGCCGCCGGCGAGCAGCTTCTTGTAGTAGTTGGCGTCGTGCTCCTTGTGGAAGCCTGTCGACAGACCGAAATCTGTCAACTTGATGTGGCCGCCTCGGTCGAGAAGGATGTTGTCGGGCTTGATGTCACTGGGAGAGTTAGAATCTTTGTCTTGGTGCGACTACTAAACACATACCGGTGTATGAAACCAAGCTTGTGGACGGCCTCTATCGCGAGCGTGATCTCGGCCATGTAAAATCGTGTAATGTCCTCGGTGAAGATTTCATACTTGATCAGCATCGTCATCAAGTCACCACCTGGCAGGAACTCCATAAGCATGTAAAGGAAGGTGTTGTCCTGGAAGGTTGTGTGCAGCTTGACAACCCATGGACTGTCGGATTCGGCGAGAATGTCACGTTCTGACCGTACGTGAGCCAACTGGTCTTTCTTGAACTGTTGCGTGTGAGCTTAATGCTGCAGGTGGGTATCGAATGAGGACTGCCTACCATCTCCTGCTTCACAAGCGACTTGAGCGCGTAGATCTTGCCGTCGTTGCGCCGTTGCACCAGCTTGACCTCTCCGAAAGCACCCTTGCCGATAATCTTCAGTGTCGAGAAGTTTTCGGGCTTCTCCTTTGTCCGCAGGAACCGCAGGTATTCGACTTCGGCACGGCGCATGCTATCCTCCTTGGACCGTTTTCGGCTGTCGGAGATGGACGTCTCCTTCATAAGAGCATCGAGTTCGAGAGCTCTGTAGCAAGGTCAGTAGTGCTCAACTAAACGTCGGGAATTCCCACCTTTGGTTTCGGTCGCGAGCGCGCTGGACACTGTCCTTGAAGAATGTATTGATGAGACTCTTGGATACCATGGCCTGCTTGTCTACATTCTCCGTGTACTTGGTGGGGTTTCGTTGCGGCGCCTCTTCATCGTACAGCGAGGGCTGTCGGGGCCCCGAGCTGCCACCCTGGCTTCCGTAGCCATAGCCTCCTCTGTTGTCTGCGGTGCGAGGGCGTCCAGGGTTCGGGGAGGCTTGTCGGCCATACGGACTTCCAGAGCGACCGCTGCCCCCAAGGTGTTGGTGCGACAGTTGTTGGGCGAGGCCGTTGGCGCTCTGGTCGAAGCGCTGGCTGCCTGGCGCCTGGAGGTTGCCCTGCTGCCCTTGATATTGTGCCTGCTGGTAGGGGTTCATGAAGTAGCCTCCGCCCCCGTTATAGCCATTGCCCTGTTGCTGCTGCTGGGCGCCCCAGACTTCCTGCTGGCCGGCCTGGTTGGGGTATACAGGTTGCGGGAACGTCGAGGGTGTCGTCGGGAATGCTCTGCCGACTTCCTGCTGGTACTGCTGGTTGTTTCGGTCACCGCCGCCGAAGCCAAAGTTGAGCTGCAGGCGGTTGCCTTGCTGGTTGTTGTTCATCGTGGCGGCCGCAATCGCTTCGGAGGGGAAGTCGGTGTAGTCGTGGTGGGTGTTGGGTGTCAAGTAGCGGAGGAACACCAAGTCTGAGTCTGGGCGGTGGAGACGGCTGGATTAGGAACAGTGACAATGCCGCTCTCTCACGGGCGTCTTAGCGGTCCACGGCGACTGCAGAGGATTCTTCAGTGCGGCGCTGGCAAGGAGAGGGAGGTGCTGGGGAGTGCCGCAGTAGCTCGGTCAGGGATAACAACTTTAGGGCGAGCTGGGACCACCAGGCGGGGAACTGTGCCAGCAACCCAACGCATGTTTCAGACGACTCGGAGGAGCGCAAGTTAGAAATGCATCCCAATACATGCCTGGGTAAAACATGTTCTAGCAGTTTAGTGAACACGAGACGCCCTCCACCACCCCTCCGCCTCTCATGCCTCTACCCACCCACCATTATGCCAACGCCTTCCTGCGTCTCAGACACACCCGGCCGAGATAGAGCATGTGCTCGCCCACGTTGGCTATTCACCTTGCTTGTGCCGCCTGTCCGAAACAGGTCAGGACGGTACAGATCCGACAGCCTGTCACGCCGTTGCTGTACCCCGGGACTCGAAATAACGAACCTATCATCAAGCTATCGATAGCGAACCTCCAGCCCAAAGAGGAGCACGTTACACAAAACAAAGGCAGCCACACGAGGAAGCAGCGTGGTCAAGCGACGAAAAACACAACAGTGCAACATCGGGTAACAAATTCTGAGGTACAAGCACGTTGTTGTCATTCAATAGTTCGCAAGTGATGTAACACGTCCAACCATCATCCATTATACCATTACAGTACAATTACCATCGCACTTCGCTAAGCGAGGATTACATGGTAGCAATCCAAAAGAACGAGCAGGCAGAAGCCCCCGAGATCTCAACAAAGTCCGCCATGCAAAGGTTTGTGTAGCGCTGAGAAAACGCTGTAACCATCGACGGGTATAGAACATTGACGACAAAAAAGGTATGTCTGTCAAAACAAAAGTGTGTTCCGGTCGGTTGGGGATCGGAAAAGTATACTAAGACAATATTGAAGGGTGAAAGTAAAGTGTAGTATGCGTAGGATCGTGAGGCCCATGTAAATGCGGGAGCTGGGTAAAACGCCGAAGATGGAAAAAGGATGTCCCAAAGACGATACGGTGGTATCGAGGAGTTTTGTCGAAGAGAAGGTATTATGTATAGCCGTTGAGTCCAGCGGGTGTCGGTAGGATCATTATGCGGTGGTGGCCATTAGAGCCTTGACCTTTTCGCGCTCGGCGACGATCTCGGCTTGCAGTTTGCGTGTCTGCCTCATAGCCTCGTCCCTAGAAACATGTTAGCACACACTCGTTATTCGTTGTGTCGGATTGACATACCTCTCGAATTGCAGGTCAGCGACCTCCATCTGAGCAGTGTTCATGCGGCCAACGACTTCCTCCATCTCGTGATCGGCATCGCGAAGAGCCCTCTCGAGCTCCTCTACGCGCTTCTCAAGCGACTCCGTCTTGGTGGCTTCAGCTAGGCTCATGGCGGGTCCACTTGAAGTTACGTCAAGACGAGGAGACCGTTGCGAGAAGACAGGGGACGATGGAAGCCTGGGAGAGAACGCCGAAGGACTGAGGAGTCCGGACTTGACACGGCGCAGGTGGTTGGTGTGGCTTTCCTTGATAGCCTGAACCTCGTCTTCGTGGCGCGCGACAGCGTCTTCTGAAGACTGTTGGGCGAGCATGACCTTGTCTTCTGCTGCCTTGAGCCTCTTCTCCAGCTGGATGATTTGCTCTGTTGACCTGCGTTGGTCCTGTTCTCCGCGCATGATCGCGTCAGTAAGACGTTTGCGCAGAGCGCTGTTGGCAGTGAGTTGCTGCTGGATCTTAGCAGAGAGCTCGTCCATGCGGGTGGCTGCAGCAAACAGCTCCTTGCTAAGCTCTTGTTCTCTGCCCAAGTGTTCGATCTCGGACTGTTGAAGGGCACGAGCCTGTTTGCGGTACTGCTCGGCTTCGTTCTGCGCATAATCGCGCTCTGCCTCTGCATCAGAAATGCTCTGTTTCAAGAGGTCCAGAGTTCGTTCAGCTTCGGCACCGGCAGCGCCGAGTGCATCTCCGTCGCTCGACTCAAGTTGCTTGACGCGAGCAAGCGAGAGGGCATGAGTAGTTCGTAGCTCGTTGTAGGCCTTGTCCAAGGCCAAAGGTTCGTTTTCTATCCGGATCTCGGGTATCGAGATGTCGTGTTCTCTGAGCAGCTCGCGAAGGGAACCAGTTTCTTGCTG